GGTTTGTAGGGACACTGTCTGCTCTGTGGTACAGAGTCCTGATCACTCCTAACTTGTGTTCCAGTGGGTGGTGGGAGTCAAAACGCAGATATTGGTCTGTGTGGGTGGGCTTACGATAGAAAAACTAAAGTTACAGCAGCTACCTGCTGACTGAACTGAACATTTTGATGTCTGAACAGCTACAGCAGAAGTAGCAGAAGATTGTAAAAAACCTGCACTAGCAGTGGACACACTTTCTCATTCAGTGTTAAGAGAAGGTGTATCCAACCTTGTGACTGGTGTATATTAACATGAAAAAGAAAAAAAAACAAGTGTAACTGCTGAGTCACTTCACACCATTAAGGACAGAAAGGCACCTTGCCTCGTAGTCAAACCGTAGGGAGCCACTCACCAACTCTTACATGCAAAGACACAACTGGGTAAACATAATATTTAGCCTGAGGGGAATAAGCACGCACAACAATATGACTGTGTTCAGGAGGTGTGGTAAAGTGGGTGTTAAATTGCTGCTCTCCRGCATCTGAAGCCAAACAATATACCATTTACCAGTACATTAACAAACCTAATGGCATATTTCAACCATTCCAGGGGGCTTATTGATTCTCATAATCAAACGGTGAGAAGAAGCAACCTCATTTTTCTATAAACTACATCAGTCATGCTCCTTGTTCAGGTGTWTACTGTGGCCGTGTCTCAAAGGGGAATACTGAGAGGTGTGTGTTTTTTGTGTAAATGTGATCAAACATCCCTGTGACATGTTTGCTTTGGCCCCATAAAAAAAAAACCCAGAGGAGGTGCAACCCAACACGTTCATATAACTTTCATAAAGCTTCACTGCACCCTTGTCTCCCACCAGACCCGGACTGATAAATTCTTCATGCTACATTACTTAAATTTAATAGAAGCCTTATTAATAGAAAATGTGCGAGTTCTTCGGCTGATATACCCTTACGGGCAGAATCCCGCCTGCACTTAGATGCGTCACGAGTCTGAAGAAACACGTTTTATCAGCTGCTTTGTATTCACCCAGCAGAAAGCTCTCAAATTGTCGGTTTCTTGCTCTGTTTTTCTTAAAGCTATACTTTTAGTGTTTACAGTCTGTTTATAGTCTGATTAAAAAGCTGAGGACGTTTTTTTCTTACATAAAACTCTGATCACGTTAAACAGCATTTCCTTCAGAGCTTTTATTTCAATAAAAATCAGACGTGTGTGGACAAGGCACATCACAAACCATTAATTTGGTCTCTGAAACCACATCTGCTCACATTTATTGGTTTATGCAATGTGGTGCAAAAGTCTTGAGTCATCCTTTAACAGTTTTGTCAGTGGCGGATCTAGGATTTTTCTGAGTAAGGGGCCATCAATGGGCCACAATATCCATAGAGGGGCCAAGTATTTGTTCAACATCCTTGCACATAAATCCTCGGCTTTGGTAAGGTGTATAAATTTAACCGGTCACATATGTTCCAACAGTTGTAACGTAATGTAGTTATTAAAAAAGCTTAAATTCTCCATATCARTGTTCAGGTTCAGGTTCAGATTTATTCGGGTCCCAAAAGGGCAATTAATGTTACAGCAAGTGCATAGTACCTATGCATACAAAGACATAATAAAAAATTCAAAAGTTAAAAAACATGTATACAAAACTTTTTTWAAAGGTTATAACAAGTAAGATACAATACAGTGCACCAAAACACAACAAATATAAATCAGTGAACAGTTACTATTAACATTGTTCTCATTGGTWTCAAGGAGCCCCAACATTCAGATGCAAGTCCCCCTACTTTGTCCTGCATTAAAAAGAGAAATAGCTATAGGGATGAAGGAATACTTGTACCTGTTACTTTTCATACACAGAATGTTACATGCATTTTTACTGTACATGCATAAAATATTCTCAAAGCCTATGAGAAAATGAAGCAATTATTTGCCAGTTGAAAGATATTTTTTGCAAAATAGCATGTACAGAAAATGGATGGATGGATGGATGGATGTTCAAGTCCTTTAAAGAAGAGAAGAAGACTTCTGTAAGAGGGCTGTGTCCAAAACGACAGGCCGGATCCTCCGGAGGACCCAGACTCCCCGGTCGCGGCGGGCCGGGTCCTTGGTAGACCGGGAAGACTGGAAAAAAAGAGGCTGTGAATTTGGACGGTCTAGCCTCCCCTCCTTACCCCGGCGTACGTCATGTCACCTAGCAACTGTGACGACGCTAAACAAGCAAACTTAAATCAAAACTAGAAATTATCAATACATTAGCATTATTAATATCACAAAACTATAAAATTAACTTAAAAGTATCATTTGAAGAACTAATTGACCCGCTGTAGGTTCATGTTTATTTCGCGTTTTTTATGACGAAAAAATAATATTTAAAAATGTCCATACAAATGATAAAAGTATTAGAATTACAACCGCTAATTTTTTTTTATTTTTATATCACCATATTTTTATTTAAAATGTATTCTTTTCTCTCGCTTCGTCCGCCATTACTAGCATAAAAAATCTCCGGTCGGGCCGCAATGCATTATGGGATATGCTGGGCCGGGAAGGATCCATCAGACCAGTCCTTCGATTCGGGCCAAAGGAAGGACGTATTTGTCGACCGCATCAGAGGAGTCTTCGGTTTTGGATGTCCTTCGTCGCGGCGCTGTGACGTATGCGGCCGACCAATTCGACCTTCGGAGGACCCGGCCTGCCGTTTTGGACACAGCCTTGGATTCATGCTGGACTTTACGGTTTGACTCAWTAGCGCCTCTAGCGCTTCGGCATGGAACTGCAGCCGCCATCATTGCTCTCAGCCAAAGGACAGATGAGTGCCAGGACAGGGGCACTTCAGGGGGCCAATCAGATTTCAGCTGGGGCCAATGCCCCTGTGGCCCCGCCCCTAGAACCACCCCTGAGTATTGTTCTGAAGGGGACAGACTTTATAATCATTTACTATAGTGGTGTTGATAAATAGCTTTCCAGGCTTTCTGAAATTCTTTCAAAAATTATTTTTTTTTTTTTGCTTCTTTGGCTGATTTTCGCTCATATTCAGAATATTTTTCTTTGTCCCTGCATTGCCTTATCAATTATTCAGACATAAMAAGGTTCCTAAACTCAAGAGATAAACCAGTCATGTCAAGACAAAAAACAACCTAGCAAAAACAAAAAAACTATTTAAAATTGGATCTTCAGGCACTTTGTCAACAGCACGTTGTCTCAAAGACACCATTTATTTACATTTCTTTATTAAAGCATGTAAGAATATCCAAGTTAAACCAGTTGAACACATAAAAAACATAATAGAACCAACAAAGAACTATTACATCTAAACCTGGCAGTAAACAAACAACTAAATGATGCATTGTTCAGGTCTTTACTCCTAATTCTCAGACAGGAATATAAAATATTRTTTAGGCTGTGAAAAAGCASTGAAAATCCAAAGAAAAACTTTAGAAAACATTTAGAACGCCCATCAATTACAACCACTTAGGAAAGTTAAAAGAAAGCCGKATTCCTTGAAAGCAAAATATAAATAAATTAAAGATAGTTGGCAATGAATCTGCATGAGTGCTTTGATGTTTGGGGAAGCATTTGCCCGTCTGCCCCTCAGGTTAGCTAGGTTTTTTRATACTTTTAGCTAGCTTTTTTTTTACTTTTAGCTAGGTTTTTGATACTTTCAGCTGGGCTTTTGATACTTTAGTTGGGCTTTTGCTTCTTTTAGCTAGCTTTTTACTACTTTTAGTTAGACTTTTTCTACTTTCAGCTAAAATTTTACTGTTAATTTTTTTTCTAAACCCGTTAAACCCTTTAGCTTGCTTTTTGCTTCTTCTAGCATTTACCTATCCTATTATTGCTACTTTTGGCTTTTAGCTCACCTTCAGCTTTTTAGTTTTCAGCATTTTGATGCTTTTTGCTTTTAGTTGTTTTTCTGTTTCTTTTAGCTATTGTGTTGTAACTTTTAAAAGTTCTGCTTCTTTAGGCATTGAAAACTCAGTTTTGGCTTCTTTTGTCCGTCCGTCCGTTTTCTTCCTATTATCTGGGGTCGGGTCGCGGGAGCAGCAGCCTATGCAAAGACACCCAGACTTCCCTCTCTCCAGCCACTTGGGCCAGATCCTCTGGGGGAATCCCAAGGTGTTCCCAGGCCAGCCGAGAAGCACAGTCCCTCCAGTGTGTCCTGGGTCTTCCTCTGGGTCTCCTCCCAGTGGGACGTGCCCAGAACACCTCACCAGGGAGGCATCCAGGAGGCATCCTAACCAGATGAACCACCTCAACTGGCTCCTCTCGACATGGAGGAGCAGCGGCTCTACTCTGAAGGCTCCAGCATGCTGCAGCCGAACTGCCGAAATCGTGCCGAACTGTCGCAGTTTAGTGACAAAAATTGCGTCATTCTGTTCGCATTGTCGACATTTCGGCACTTCTTGTCGCAACCCGCGGGTCGAACTTTTCACCCTAATCCACATAAGAACACATACGAACTATAATCTGTGATTGGTCAGAACTTTGTGAGAGTGTTTGTTTGTGCTGAAAGCACTCAGACGCTGCGTTTTRCTTCAACCACTCGCTTCAAAAAAATGAGAAGAAAAAGTGACTCACTTCCAGAGCTGACTGTTACCAGGAAGCAGAGTCAAACAGCCAAAAACTCATGAAAGGAGATAAAACAGATGTTTCTCACGAATCTGACTGATAAAAACTTAAGAGCCTAATCCAGGACCAGTTTGTGGATAAATAACATTGGGTGACGAGTCTCTGACTTTTTTTTTCACATTGGCCTCCACTGGGAAGAAATCCCAAACAGTGACGTATGCTGCACCGGGAGAGGTTTCCCAGGAGCTTGGCGCAGGGTGTCTCAGTAGCAATGAAAGGCGTGTGCGAAAATGAACGCCAAACGACCACGTGACTGTGCGTCATCCGGTCGGCTGCTGAACGACCATACTGCCTGCATGAGTCCCTCCCAGATGACTGAGCTTCTTAGCCTATCTCTAAGGGACAGCCCAGACACACTGCAGAGGAAACTCATTTCAGCCGCTTGTATCCGTGATCTCGTTCTTTCGGCCACTACCCAAAGCTCATGACCATAGATGAGGGTAGGAACGTAGACCAACCGGTAAATCAAGGGCTTCGCCTTCTGGCTCAGCTCTCGCTTCACCACGACGGACCGTTATAACGCCCGCATCACTGCAGACGCTGCAACAATCCGTCTGTTGATCTCCCGCTCCATCTTTCCTCATTCGTGAACAAGACCCTGAAATACTTAAACTCCTCCACTTGGGGCAGGACCTCCTCCCCGACTCAGAGAAGGCACCCTACCCTTTTCCAGCTCAAGATCATGGCTTCTTTTGTAAATTAATATTTTATTTCCAGACAAAAAAGTAGTCCATATTATTTAAAGAATTATGTAAAATTTAGTAAAATGTGTTTTTTCTTCCCTGCTGTATTTTCTGGGCACCATCATGTGCAGCATTTGTGTGCAGTTGTGCATTACACATGTTTGTTGTTTTGATTTKTGTTCTTTTCTTTTGTCTTTCAAAGATGTCGGGGGTTTCTTCGAGGCAGGAACAATGGTCAAATACAACTTCATGCCTGAGCCAGTTCCAGGGGCCAGTAAGGATACAAAAGCCTTGACGCAGCAGCTGATGCCAAACGAAGTGAATCTGACGAAGGAGGAAGTGGCCTTCAGTTTCAGCACATCCAGCGCTCCGGCCATTCTCATGTATGTGAGCTCCAAGACCCAGGACTACCTAGCTGTGGTGCTGGGACACAAGGGTAAGATTTACAGATGCAGGATCTGACCAGGAAGTGCCTCTTTTTTTTACTTGCAGAGCAACTGACACAATGACAGGATCAAAGCCGTAAATACAGACTGATCCGGTCCRGCCTCGTAGCAATCGATGCTCACAATAAAACACAGTCACACAAAATCAAATAGCTAAATTTACTCGTGGCTTTGGGTTTCACTGCRCTTTCTCGTGTCTCTGCAGGTTCACTGCAGGTTCGATATAACCTGGGTGGTCTGAAGGAGCCCTTCGCAATAGATGTGGACCAGCGGGACCTGGCCAACGGCCAACCACACAGCATTAACATGTCCCGTCACAACAGAAGCATCACCATCCAGGTACAACACAGAAAAACACACTCTCCTGAACAAACTAGTTGTATTCTAGATTCAGAGCTGCTGTTTCAGCACCATACCTTTACAAGGTGGACAGACTGCCATACGATCCGAAAACACCACAAACACACACACACTCTGCACTATCTCRCAAGCCCAGCCACTCTTAAATTGATTGTTTGCAGTACATCAGAGTGTGCTGTGCTCTCCTCAGCTTGTCCTTCTCCACTTTTAATCCACCTCCAGTGAACAACCTAAGTATAGCAACATAGAAAGCATCGATCTCTGTGTTTACATCAGAGCTGTTGTGTGACTGTAACTGCGGTCATTATGCAGAGATCCAGTGTGTGTGTTTGTGTGAGACACATTTGGAGGGACTGTATGTTTYAGATTTTGTCATTCCGATCAAGCTGAACCAGATCAAAATCTTCCAGTTGGAGTGTTTACATCAAGGCTATTCAACTGGTGGCCCACGGGCCACATCTGGCCCCCCGGGTGACTTCCATATGGCCCTTCTTTCTTTTTTTTAGTCGATTTAATATAATAATCATAATCATTTGTAAATTAAAAACTTAAGTTTCAGTGCAACAAAATATATTTAAAAAGTAAAAGATTGTACTTGTTCTGTTACGTGCTGCAGTGGGCTTCGAGCAACCCCGGCCCCCCGGAGCAATTTAGTTGAATAGTCCTGGTTTGTATGATGTATTTTATTCCCTTTGGACATTTATTCTAATTTCTTATGTCCACATACAGCGAGTAAAATAAGTATTGAACACGTCAACATTTTTCTCAGTAAATATATTACTAGAGGTGCTAATGACATGAAATTTTCACCAGATGTTGGTAACAACCCAAGTGATCCATACATACAAAGAAATCAAACCATAAATGTCCAGAAATGAAGTTATTTGTAATAATGTGGAATGGCACAGGGAAAAAGTTTTGAACACACTGAAATTTATCTAATACTTTGGACCTCCAAACTTCACTGTTGGTATGGTGTTTTTGGGCTGATGTGCAGTGCCATTTGACCTCCAAACATGATGTGTATTCTGGCATCCAAACAGTTCAATGTTGGTCTCATCTGACCAGACTATATTCTCCCAGTATCACACAGGCTTGTTTAAATGTTGTGCAGCAAACTTTAAAGGAGCTTCAACATGCTGTTTCTTCAGCAGTGGAGTCTTGCGTGGTGAGCGTGCATACAGGCCATGGTGGTTCAGTGCATTACTTATTGTTTTCTTTGAAACAATCGTACCTGCTAATTCCAGGTCTTTCTGAAGCTCTCCACAAGTGGTCCTTGGCTCTTGGACAACTCTTCTGATAATTCTTTTCACTCCTCTGTCAGAAATCTTGTGAGGAGCACCTGGTCGTGGTCGGTTTATGGTGAAATRATGTYCTTTCCACTTCTGAATTATGGCCCCGACAGTGCTCACTGGAACCTTCAGAAGTTTAGACATTCTTCTGTAACCGATGCCATCATTATGCTTTGCAACAATAAGGTTGTGAAGGTCTTGAGAGAGCTCTTTACTTTTACCCATCATCAGATGGTTCTTGTGTGATACCTGGYCATCATTTGGGACTGAACCAGCTGATATTAACTTGCACTGACAAGGGGCAGGCTTGCTTTCTAATTACTGAGAGAGTTCAGCTGGTGTCTTTGCTTTCCATGCCTTTTTACACCTCCCTTTCTTCATGTGTTCAATACTTTTTCCCTGTGCCATTCCACATTATTACAAATAACTTCATTTCTGGACATTTATGGTTTGATTTCTTTGTATGTATGGATCACTTTGGTTGTTACCAACATCTGGWGAAAATTTCATGTCATTASCACCTCTAGTAATATATTTACTGAGAAAAATGKTGACGTGTTCAATACTTATTTTACCCGCTGTAAGCATAGTTGGTGATTGTTTTGACTGAAAATCCATCTTCTGGACAAAGCTACAACTTATGTATTTGGGCTTACTTCCAAACTCCTAGTCTGGCTTTAAAAAGGTGAATTGTCTTTTTTGTGTGTACTTTGTGCGTTTGCCTTGTTTCGTCATCTAAACTCAACTTAAAGTCGTACTGATATCGTCTGGTRAGTTTAGTGTCAAAGACGGCAAATACACTTGGGACGAGGTGTTGATGTTGCCTCGCTGCTTTTGCACGTTTGTTTCAAGAACATTGTCAGRGGCATGACAGAAAGGTATTATTTTTAACTTTTTTGTTTGTTTTTGCTTTTAGATTTTAAGATTAGTGCAGCATTATTTTATTTCAGATCGGTTTTTTTTTTCTACAGTTTGGATGTAGCGTATTTTCATTTGTAACGTGTTTTTCTTGTTGTCGACAGGATTTTTGTTGTTGTTGTTGTTGTTGCTGGCTGACTTTCAGCTTTTGGGTTTTTTGTTTTGTCAGTCCTTGGCTGCTGGTTGTGCCTTTGTTGTGGGTTTTTTTTTTTTTTTTTTTTTACAGACAACCTGATCAGGAGGAGTCCGTTTGTAGACAGTTTATTTTATTGTAGAGATATAAAGTTTCTCTCTCTTTTTTGTTCCTTTATGACCCTCTGCTGCTGTGTTCTTTCCTATAACGCTTCCTAAGGTCTTGTAAAAGCTGTTGAGGCTGAGGCAATGCTCACAATGATTCATCTTTCCTGATGGGGACAAAACCTGTCTTAGTTTGGATTTATTTATGGAAAAGGGAAATTCTACATCCCACTCTTCTTCTGGTCTCATTACTTTAATTGGAACCCCCCTGACTTCAGGGGGCTTTCTGAGAATTTAGCGTGCACTTTTTTCCTTTTCCATCCTGCAGAGATTACTCAGCATGTTTGCAGGATGTTTAAGGTSATATATTAATGCTGTAGAGCCACTGAATGTTATCATTAAATGAAAAATAAGCAAACACGAGGCCTGAAATGTAATGGGTGAGTGTTTTATAAGTAAGTTAGTATTTAGTGTTTTAAAGTCTGATTTAAAAAAAAAGGTTTTACGTCTTAGAGGTTTAAAGAGGGATTCAGCGGGTCAAAAAGGCTCATTAGACTCGTCACAAACATGCAGTTCTTAGTCTTTTGATCTCTGTGTTTTCCAACATGTGGAGGCTTTCCCACAATTTCATCACCTCCTCATAAACTGCACTAAAAAAATCAGAGAAAAATAAACTAAAAGCTGAACAATCAACTGAAACATTTACTCGCTGCATTTTTATTAGCAGCTTAAATGGATTTAGATAAATGATAATGGTAAAATAAAATAAAAATATTGACCTGCATTCTGCAAACCAGGGCTGACAATACACTGAAACATTAGTTTTAAGAATTAGGACAAACGCCACCGGGCGTTGTGCAGTTATAATAATAATTCAGTTATAAGAACAAAAAGCATCACTGAAGGAACTGTAGGGGAAAGACTTGAAAAAAATATAAATTTATGGATACGGCATTAGAAGTACAGCCCCGAGGTGCATTAAAAAGATAACTTTGATGAGTAAAAATTTTTTCTCTTTCATATTTCTGCTGCCTCAAGGTGCTTTTCAAGGTGCGGCCGTGTGACTAATATCCTGATGTAAACAGACACCAACAGGCGTTTATGTTACAGAGAGATGCTGTTTGATCAGCSAACGCTCCACACGCTGCTCTGACTCTCACTGATAAAACGCATGCATCAAATGATCGACAACATGAGAAACATTTAGCCTGACGTGTTAGGAGCAAATACAGACAGTCTCTGTCAGTCCTTTGAGTCGTTAGTTCAAAAAAWACCAAATATAAGCATGTAATCTAGGTAAAATATCTCAATGTTCAGTTTGCTGYAGGGAATAAATACTTTATTTTGATTTTTGTGATTCAGAAGGAGAGACCTTGGTAGCAAAATATTATGCAGCCTGTTGCAAATCAGGTACTTACCTGGTGCATACCTGCATTTAAAGAGGTCCTTGTATAATAACTTTTAGTAATCGCCTCAATCCAGGCTTTTAAATGATGAAGAGGCATGCTGAGAATTTTAAATTAAAGATGTGAAGATTTGCAAACTCCAAAAGAACAAGATAATTTGCATTTGAGTGCAGCCTAATGCTGAGTTAGCTAAAAAAGCAGAAACTAGCATAAGAGTCAAAAGAAACAGCATAAGCATGTTTGCTGAATTCAGCAAAAAGGTGAATTAATTTAACTAAAAGTAGCTAAAAATGCAAAAAAGGCATCTTAAATGTGCAAAAAGCAGCTGAAAGAAGCATAAAAAATGAGCTTTTAAAAAGTACCTGAAATTACTACAAAGAAACAGAATGAGCACGTTTGTTGAATTCAGCAAAAAGTAAATTTAGCTGAAAAAAATTGCTAAAAATAGCTAAAAAATGCAAAAAAAGACAGCTTAAATGTGCAAAACGCAGCTGAAAGAAGCAAAAAATTGGCTGAAACTAGCCTAAAAAGAGCTTTTAAAAGTATATGAAATTACTACAAAAAGAAACAGAATGAGCATGTTTTGCTGAATTCAGCAAAAAGTTCCATTCAGCAGAAAACATTGGCTAAAAGTAGCTAAAAAATGCCAAAAAAGATGGCTTAAATGTGCATAAAGAAGCTGAAAGAAGCAAAAAAAAAAGGCTGGAAGAAGCACAACAAAGTTTAAATTGGAATAGAAAAGGTAAGAATGCTTTGCTAAAATCAGCCAAATATAAGCCGAAAGAAGCTAAAATTAGTCAATAAATAAATAAATAAATAAATAAATAAATAAATAAATAAATATGTACAGTAAAGATTTTAAAAGATTTAAAAGTGTTTTTAGGACATTGACAACAACTCCATTCATTTACATTGAGAAAAACATGGCAGAAAAATCTAAATATTTCAAAAATTGTGAATTAACGTACCAAATGTCATAGCTGGAATGTCCTGAAGGAGCTAAATGGTTTGAAATATAAATTGTTGAAATAGTGGTGGAAAAACTGCAGAATGAAAAATGTGCCGACACAAAAAATGATCTTAGTGTGAATGGCAAAGATGTGACTGAGATTTAAAAAAGGTTTAA